CCCTCCCGCAGCCCCGTGTACACTCTCACCTCCATCACTGACCCTACCCACCCACTTAATCCCCCCAGTCAATCCCCCTATCATGGGGTGGCACGGTGGCTCACTGGTTAACACTGAAGCATCACAGCGCCAAGGACCCGTGTTCAAATCTGGCCTTGGGCGACCGTCTGTGTGGAGTTTGCACATTGTCTGCTTGGACAACTGTCTGCATGGGCTTCTTCCAGGTGCTCCGGTTTCCTCCCACAGTCCAAAGATGTGCAGGTTAGGTGGATTGGCCATGCTAAATTGCCCATAGTGTTCAGGGATGTGTAGGTTAGGTGGGTTAGCCATGGGAAGTGTAGGGTTACATGGACAGGGTGGGGAGGTGGGTCTAGGTGGGATGATCTTCAGAGGGTCGGCGTAGACTTGATGGGCTGAATAGCCCACTTCCACACTGTAGCGATTCTATTATCATTGACCTTACTCACCCATTTAATCCCCTCCCAAGGCCCAACACTCTTCACTTCACTCCCACCCACATTCCCTACTCCATATCCAGCTATATTCCCCATTATCACACATATCCATATCTCCTTTTCCACACCCACCCAAAGTCTTCACTCCACACCTACCCAAAACCTTCACCCCTCCCCCAACCATATCCTCCACTCCACACCCACCCAAAATCTTCACTCCTCCCCCACCCATATCCTCCGCTCCACACCCACCCGAAACCTTCACTCCTCCCCCACCCATATCCTCCGCTCCACACCCACCCAAAACATTCACTCCTCCCCCATCCATATCCTTCGCTCCACACCCACCCAAAACCTTCACTCCTCCCCCACCCTTATCACCCAATTCTTTCCCCCTAACCCCCATACACTGGAGAGCTGCTTCTGGGAGGAACTGCTCCTCCATCACTGGCTGGTTTTATCCAACATTTAATATTGATAGGCTCAATAGTAAGCCAATCAGCAGCATACCAGGAGAGATACAGCCTGCGATTGGAGAATTAGCGAGTGGTTGGGAACTGAAGAAGCACCAATGGGTGAGTCACTTGTGGTTTGTCACCTGGATGTTATGGCAGGCTCCCTGGGAAGGCAGGGATCCTGTATGACCACTCAACTGTCCGTCAAGGGGAAAGAGACTGGACCAGGTTTAGGGGGAAAGAGGAAGCTCCTGGGGGGAGGCAGCAAAAGATGTTTCTTTAGGAGGAAGGAAGAACCTGCAAGATCAAGGAGAAAGAGGCTGCAAAGACAAGATGTCAGTTTGTAACCTGTCAACAAAGGAATGCTCAGCTAACTGCAAACAGGAAAACTTAAAACCTCTGGGGAAATGTATGTCTGAAAATGAGTATGGAATATCTAGTTTAAGGTTGCATAAATTCGGGAGCTACTAAATAGGGGAATGTGTGGTAAATACTTTGGTCATGAACACTGTGTGTCAAAGATTAAATTTAACTCAGATCTGAGAAGCACTGAAAAGAGCAGCAACCTGTCATTGGTAGGACTTGAAAGAGGGTTCAACTGAAAGATTTTGAACACTTAGGAGTTATAAAGTCAGAGTTTTTACAGCACAGGAAGAGGCCTTTTGGCCCATCATATCTGTGCTGGTCATCAAACATTCATTTATCTAATCCCACTTATCAGTACCTGGCCCATAGCATTGTATGCTGTAGTATTTTAAGTGCCTATCGAAATACTTCCTCAATGTTTTGAAAGTTCCTGCCTCTAACATCCTTCAGACAATGAGTTCCAGATCCCCACCACCCTCTGGGGAAATTTGATTTGATTTACTGTTATCAAATGTACCTAAGTGCAGTGAAAAGTTTTGTTTTGCAAGCAGTACAGGCAGATGATAGCATACAAGGGTGTACAGATCATAAGGTGCTTATACAGAGCAAGGCATTTACACACTAGAATTGAAGTTTCAAAGTGCAGAGTGGTTGTAAGAAATGTGAGAATAAGATCTGTTGTCGAGAGCTTGCAATGTTTTCCTGAAATATCCTCTAAACCTCTTGCTCCTTACTTTGAAGGCAAATGTCCTCTGGCCCTGATGGATTGCATTCTGGGATTGTAAAAGAGAGAGCTACAGAGAGAGTGGATGCAATGGTTATAGTTTTCCGAAAATCCTTGGATTCTGAAGATATACCAGAGGATTGGAAAACTGCTAATATGATGGGGGGGGGGGGGCAAAAAACAGGAAACTACAGGCTGATTAGCCTAACATCTATTGCTGGGAAAATATTAGAATCAATTATTAAGGAAGTAATAGCAGCATATCTGGAAAATTATAATCTAATCAAGCTGAGTCAGCATGGCTTCATGAAAGGGAAATCATGTCTGACTAATTTATTAGAGTTTTTTGAGGAAATTTCAACCAGAGTAGATGGAGGGGAATCAGTAGATGTGTTGTATTGGACTTCCAGGTGTTGAACAAGGTACTTCACAAAATGTTAAGGCATAAGAGCCCAAGTGTTGAAGGTAGGATATTGACATCGGTAGAGAGTTTGATTTTATGTATTTGTTGTCACATGTACCTAAGTACAGTAAAAAGCTTTGATTATGAACAGTACAGGCAAATCATAGTAAGCAAGGACATACAGATCATAAGGTGAGAACAAAGGTTAGAGGCATATACGTTACGTCACACGGGGCATGCACTGGGCAAGATCAACATTAGCAAGATCAGCATTATGTGAAGCTAGAGAGTCCATGCATCAGTCTGATAATGGCCAGGAAGAAGCTGTTCTTGAATGTGTTGGTGCATGTGTTCAAGCTTCTGTACCTTCTGCCTGATGGAAGAGGTTGTAGGAATCATTACCGGGGTGTGATGGGTCTTTGATGTTGGCCGCCTTTCCACGACAGTGAGCCATGTAAATTGGCTCATGAGTAGGAAACAGAAAGTAGGGATAAGGGGTTCTTTTCCTGGTTGGTGACAGCAGCTGTTCACAATGTATAATAGTGACTTAGAGGAAGGAAACAAATGTACTGTAAACAAATTTGCAGATGGCACAAAAATAGATGCTTAGGCAGATGAGGAGCAGGAATACAAAGAGTTTACAGAGAGATATTAATAGGTTAAGTAAATGGGCAAAATTTGGCAAATGGAGCATAATGTGGGAAAATGTGAGGTGTTCGTTTTGGAAGGGAGAACAAAAGAACAGAATATTATTTAATATTCTGCTGCAACATAAATGGACTGGGGGGACTTGTGTATAAAACCCAGAAAGCTAGCATACAGGGTGCAGCAGGTAATCAGGAAGGCTAATGCAATGTTGGCCCTTATTTCACGGGAGTTGGAGTGTAAGAGTAAGGAAGTCTTTGTGTAACTGTACAAGGTGCTAGTGAGCCTGTAAGCAGTTTTAGTCCTTTATTTAAGGATAGCTCTCATTTTATTGGAGGTAGTTCAGAGAAGGTTCACAGGATGATCCCTGGCATGGAGGGACTGCCTTATGAGCAAAGGTTAAACAGGATGGGACTCTACTCACTGGAGTTTAGGGGAGTGAGAGGTGATCTCATTGAAACCTGTCAGATTCTTAAGCAGCCTGGCATGGTAAATGCTGAGAGGGTATTTCCCCTCATGGGACAGTCTAGGGGATCAGAGGGCACAGTCTCAGAATAAAGGGGCACCAATTGAAGACTGAGATGAGGAGGAATTTCTTCTCTCGGAGGGTTGTGAGTCTTTGGAACTCCTTGCCACAGAGAGCTATGGGGGCAGAGTCCTTGTGTATATTTAAGGCTGGGATAGATTCTTTATCAATCAGGAATCAAAGGTTATGGGGAAATGGCAGGAAAGTAGATGTGAGGAATGTCGGATCGGCCATGATCCTATTGAACGGGGGAGGAGGCTCAAGGGGCTGAATGGTCTCCTACTGTTCTTGATGGTCTTATAGTAGGCCATTCAGCCCATGGTTAGAGCCTTCTCCATTATTTGATACAATCATGGCTGATCTCATCTTGTTCTCAACACCCTTTTCCTGCCTATTCTCGATGATGTCACACCACTAGCTAAGAATCGATCTCCTCCTCACATTTATTCAGTGTTCTGGCATCCACTACCTTTAGCCATGGCTTCATAAAGGGGAAATGGATTTGAATTTTTGACGTGGTAATGAGCATGATAGACTAATGAGAAGCAGAACGCTCCACACAAAATGGCCTGGGAATGAGGTCATTGCTATATATCAGGAAAAGAAAGGTTCCCAACAATAATTCCCAGGAGAATTCCGGTCCACAAAACATCAATTTGCCACAACCTCTTGGTTTCCTGTCGCTCACTTGAATTTGTATCCATGTAGCATCACAACAGCTCAGAGGAGTTTCACTCGATTCATTCCTGGGATGAAGCACTGATATTATGAGAAAAGGTTGGAGAGTTTGGACTGATTGCATTGACCATTTGAAGGATGAGAGGTGATCTTATTGAAAGACATAAGATAGTGAGGGGACCTGACAGAATAGATACCAGGAGGATGTTTCCCCTTGAGGAGAAGACTACACGGGACAGTTTAAGACCAAAAGTCTCCTGTCCATGATGGAGTTGAGGATAATGTAATTTTCTCTCTCAGGGAGTTGTTATGCTGTGGTGTTGTCTTCTTCAGAGAGCAGTGGGCACTGGGTCACTGAGTTTACTCAGGCTGTGGCAGATTACTGACTGACAACGCAGCTGAGGATTCTGGGGTTGGTCAGGAGCCTGGAGCTAAGTCCCTAACCAGACCAGCCATGTTCTTATTGTCTAGTGGAGTGGCTCCATGGGCCAAATGGCCACATCTGCTCCAAAGTCCTCTGTTTCTGTTGACCCTCTAGCCTACAAACCAGATTCCACACTGCTCGGTCACTCTTCCCCCAAATACATCACACTATGACATCTCACAGTCCCTCGGCAAACTAATTGCACATGCAGCCATCCTGATGGAGGCAGTGTGTGAGGACATGGGAGTATCCTGGCAACAGGGATAACCCCTCTCAGATTGTTGACTGCCCTCTGACTGCGGACAAGGAATTGATTCAAACGTTTGCCTTCCAGGATCAAGCCTCATGTCTGGCCCAAAATTCCAAACCCAAAATCTACACTGGAGCACCTGTACATGAAACCAAACAAGGTAGGCTTAGCGCACAGAGCTGTGAGTGTTTGATGGGGACAGTGTAGAGGGAGCTTTACTCTGTATTTAACTCCGTGCTGTACTTGTCATTGGAGTGTTTGATGGGGGACAGAGTAGACTGAGTTTAAGTAGTATCTAACCCCGTGCTGTCCCTATCCTGAGTATGTTTGATGGGAACAATATCAAGGGAGCTTTATTCTGTATCTAACCCTGTGCTGTCCCTGTCCTGGGAGTGTTTGATGGGGGACAGTGTAGAGGGAGCTTTACTCTGTATCTAACCCCGTGCTGTCCCTGGACTGTTTGATGGGGACAGTGTAGAGGGAGCTTTACTCTGTATCTAACCTTGTGCTGTCCCTGCCCTGGGAGTGTTTGATGGGGACGGTGTAGAGGAAGCTTTACTCTGTATCTAACCCCGTGCTGTCACTGTCCTGGGAGTGTTTGATGGGGGACAGTGTAGAGGGAGCTTTACTCTGTATCTAACCCTGTGCTGTCCCTGTCCCGGGAGTGTTTGATGGGGGACAGTGTACAGGGAGCTGTGCTGAGTGCTGTGCTCTGTGTTACAGACGGTGGCAGTGAGCTTTAACCCATCCAGCTTCCTGGATGTGATGGAGAGTCGAGTAGACACGATACAGGTGAGGGGGTCCCGGAGAAGCTGCCCTGCCCCATCCTCAGGGAGTGAAGCTGCTGACTGTAACAATATGGTGCCGGAGAGAGAGCTGCTGATGGGAGAGAGAGCAACAAGAGACATCAGTGGCACAAGCTGGCACGAAGCTAAGTGCCCAGCCCAGGAGGGGGCTGACAGTCCACAGTGCCTGAGGTTGGCCAGGGGAGATCCTGAGGGAAAGAGGCTGCCTGGGTCTCCCCATGGCCATGCCCCAGAGCCTGGGGGTCAGAACAGAGCGAGGAGCCCCACGTCTGGGCACAGCCACAATGATGGCACTGCCTATGGGGGGCAGGGGTTCAATGTTCAGGGCACTCGGGAATCTTGCCCAGATCAAGTTGATCAAGGGAGTGATCTGGGATCAACATTAGCTGCAGACTGTCCTCTTACCCCGTCCGACCAATCCTATATCACCATGTCCAACCTGTACCAGATCCAGTGAGAGACGCCCCACCAACCCACACCCCTACCCCCAGACCCACACTTCTACCCCCAGACCCACACCCCCCTCCCAGACCCACACTCCTACCCCCAGACCCACACCCCCCTTCCAGACCCACACCCCCCGCTCCCAGACCCACACTCCTGCCCCCCGCCCCACACCCCGCCCCCAGACCCACACTCCCCTCCCAAACTCTCATTCCACAACCCCAAGCCCAAGCTCCTCCCCTCCACCAGCCCCTCACACCCCCCACCCCCACCCACTACTCCCCAGCCTCTCCCTCCCCCACACCCACCCCCACCCCCCCAGCCCCACACTCACACCCCCACGCCCTACCCCCTACCCCTTACCCTCTACCCTCTACCCCCTACCCTCGCCCTCCTACCCTCTCCCTCCCCATCGGGCCCACGCTCCCTGGGCTCACTTTCATGACTGTATGATCAGGCAATTTTCAGAAAAGTTGTTCTGAGCGCTGCTGCAATTTTCTGAGGAAAAGCTTCGAGAAAGACCGTTTTGAAATGGCTGCAGGAGCAGAGCGGGAGGATTCAGGAATTCGATGTAGTCCTCACTTTAGTCAGGACCAAAGATAACCCTTGAGTTGACGCTGGCCTGCTCTGGGACGTTAAATGAATTTGTGGACAATGTGTGGCGAGAATGAACTAGGCGCCAACCAGATGCAAAGCTAAGCACCACAGGAGTGGTGTGGGGGTGGGCCGTTTTCAAAAGGTCAATGCCTTAATGGGAACATGTTTTAGCTTCTGCATGAGTCACATGGTCACCGTGGGTGATCTTAGCTCGCCACTCAGGAATGAGACGCTGCCTTGGAAGAGAGATTCCACCATGAACTACAGAGATTTACCATGCCTCTCTACTAATAAGCATTCTTCTGTCTTATCAGGATGTTTTTTTTTAATTTTTGTATCTGTTTTTGTATCTTTATTTTTACACAGATAGTGTCATGTTTTTACTTGGTAAATTTTAGCTATAAAATATTATATAATAAACCAACAAAACTATTCAGAAAGATGAATGAGACAAAGCCTTTGACAACATCCCACATGGGATCCAGGGTAACTTGGGAAGTTGGAACTAAAGCTGGCTTAGTTACAGGGAACAGTGGGTGGTGGTAGGAGGCTGTTGTGTTATTGGAGCACGGTGTGCAGTGGTATACCACAGGGATCAGTGCTGGGTCCCTTACTGTTTGTGATATTCATAAAAAATGGAGATAGGAATGTGGGAGGAATGGTAAGTAAGTTTGTGGATGATACCTTAAACCTATGGCCTCTGGTTTTGGACTCCTCCACCTTGTAAAAAGACTTTGCCCATTCACCCTACCATGCCCCTCATGATTTTATAAACTTCTATAAGGTCACCCCTCAGCCTCCGATGCTCCTGGGAAAAAAGCCCCAGCCTATCCAGCCTCTTCTTGTAGCTGAAAAAGAGAGAGAAGGAGTTAGAGTTCGAGCCTACAAGGTATGGGAGGAACAACAGGAAGAAGAGAGGGAATTGCAGTTAAAATGCAGGAATTGGAGCTGCAAACACACAAGACACAGAGACTAAAGACTGCTCGAGAAAGACTCACTCACTCGAACTCATAACAGCCACATATGGGGTTTGAATCCTGAAGTGAACAAACTTTTTCAATCTACAAAGGAGATGCATACACCTTTATTACTGCTGTTCATAAAGTAGCAGAGCAGCTTGGTTTCCACATGCAGTGGGGTTTGGACACTCGGAGATAGCAAGAACAGGGAGGTAATGGTCTAGTGGTATTATTGCTGGACTGTTAATCCAGAAACCCAGACAATATCCTGGGGACCTGGGTTCCAATCCCACCATGGCAGATGATGGAATTTGAATTCGATAAAATATCTGGAATTAAGAGTTTAATGATGACCATGAATCCATTGTCGATTGTCAGAAAATCCTATCTAGTTCACTAATGTCCTTCAGGGAAGGAAACTGCCATCCTTACCTGGTCTGGCCTACATGTGACTCCAGACCCACAGCAATGTGGTTGACTCTTAACTGCTCTCTGGGCAATTAGGGATGGACAATAAATGCTGCCTAGCCAGCGATGTCCTCATCCCGTTAATGAGTAAAGAATAAGGGAGATGCTGGAAGTCAGAGTCAACACAGTGTGGAGCAGGAGGAACACAGCAGGTCAGGCAGCATCAGAGGAGTAGGAGAGTCAATGTTTCGGTCAGGACGCTTCATCAGGGCTCATGAAGGATCCCGACCTGAAACATCGACTCTCCAGATCCTCTGATGCTGCCTGACTTGCTGAGTTCCTCCAGCTCCACACTGTATTGATTTGGGTTTGGACACTGCTGATCAAGGTTCCATGAACAGGATTGGTATGAGCTCCGTTCTCCAATGAACAGACTGCTCAGTTATTACAAAAACAAGGTTTCGTTTCTCTCAGTTACTGCTGCAATCATCCTTGTCTGCTTCAATGATGCCCCAACAAAGAAGCTGACACCACCCAGACCAAAACTGCACCTTCACTGGCACCAAGATCCACAAATATTCTTCTCCCAGTCTCTCTCTCTCTCTACTCCCCTCTCTGGTCACCCCAGTCCCCCTCTGTCTCTCTCTGTCCAGTCCTCCCAGTCTGTCTCCAAGTTTCTCTCTATTCCGCTCTGCCTCACTCTCTCTCTGTCCTCCAAGTCTCTCTCTCTCTCTCTCTGGTCCTCCCAGTCTCTCTGGTTTTCCCAGTGTCAGTCTCTCTCTCTGGTCCTCCCAATGTCACACTCTCTCTCCCTCAGTGGTCCTTCCAGTCTCTTTCTCTCTCTTTGGTCCTCCCAATCTCTCTCTCTGGTCCTCCCAATCTCTCTCTCTCTCTGGTCCTCCCAGTCTCTCTCTCTCTCTGGTCCTCCCAGTCTCTCTCTCTCTCTTTGGTCCTCCCAATCTCTCACTCTGGTCCTCCCAATCTCTCTCTCTCTCGTTTTCTCTCTGGTCCTCCAAGTCTCTCTCTCTCTCTCGTCCTCCCAGTCTCTCTCTCTCTCTCTCTCGTCCTCCCAGTCTCTCTCTCTCTCTCTCTCTCATCCTCCCAGTCTCTCTCTCTCTCTCTCTCTCTCATCCTCCCAGTCTCTCTCTCTCTCTAGTCCTCCCCAGTCTCTCTCTCTCTCTAGTCCTCCCAGTCTCTCTCTCTCTCTAGTCCTCCCA